AGCCCCGGCCCGGCCTGAGGGGAGAGATGGCTTCCTACGTGGATAACAGCTGCAGCCAAGCGGTGATGAAGAACCCCGCGGAGAGGACCTCCCAGTTGCTGCCTGGAGAATGACGCGTATTCCTAAGCGTTGGGATGATGACTACGGGATATATCTCCCTGCCAACCCTCTTAGGACAATAAGCCCTTCTGATCCGTGGGACCATCAGACATGTAGGATGTAATTCTTGAAAGAGTAGCTGGTCTTGTTAAGTGTTGTGGGGGAGAACAGAGTAAAACAGAATCTTCCATTTGGCTGCCTTTGGACAAGGCCCAAGAATGGCACCTGGTACCGTTTTTTGATTTTTTTTCATTCTTCTTGACGGAGCCATCACATCTGGGGGAAATCATACATGGCATGTATTTACCAAATGTGTCGTGTGCCTTTCTTATCCACCATTTGTTTTAAAATTTTCCATGGAATCGGTCGTCTGCAATTGAAAATGCTAGTTCCTAGTTACAGTGTGGTGGAAAGCACATTCCAATGAAAGAATTCCATTTTGAAGTGCCAAGTGAAAGCACACGTGCTGGGAATATTAGAACCTAGCAAGATGAGAGGGGTCAGAAAATGATGTCAGGCCTTTGGTGGAAATTAGAGATGGGGGAAGTGGTGTTGCCTTTTGTTGGTTAATTAGAATAGCAATGATTGGAAACCTACTGGGGGAGGAGGAGGTATTTCACCAAACAAGACTGTAAGAGACAAAACCTGGGCTGTGACGGCATGTGGATTGTGCCAAGTCAATGAACTGTTAAACGTTCCTGTTCCTGTGCCAGTTGTGTAGAATAAAAACCCGGCATAGAACTTGGCCTGAGTCAGAAGTGGGCCAGTGACTACTGGCACCACATGATGAGAGCTTCATTGACAGTCGCAAAATGCACATTCCCCCCACCAACCTTCATGGACAAAAGTAAACAGAGGAAAAGCTACCAAATGTTTCCTACATTCTTAAGTGTCAGCCCTATTAACGTTGATGTTCAGTTGGTTATTACTAATGCAAACCCACATGCTTACCTATTATTGTTTTAAAGAGAAAGTAGGTTTGAATGTGAATGTTTTCCATCTTCCTCTGGCTTGACAAAAAAAAAGCAAAAGAAAAAGATCTTCTGAATATTTGAAATGGACTCAAGTCAAAGTTAAAAAATGTTTTGGTTGAAGGTGATTTTTGAATGGAGTGCCTTGTTAAATGCCAGGGCTGGGAGTTTTTCTGTGCTATCTTTGTCATGAACGCGTGAGAGTTAGAATTTTGTAATGTAATAAAAGCACACATTAAATAGGCTTAATATCACGAACAGAAGGATATGAACTAGGAAAAGTTTTGCTGTCATGTTTCCTTTTGTTCCTCAGGATAGACTCGGTAAAGGAGTTTGATTCTCATTATAGGTGAAAGGAAGGGGCTTAAAAAAAAAGGATACAGGAAAATATAGAAATAATTTTTGTTAAATTCGGTTTCTTCCCCCCCTTTTTTTTTAAACCCCAGCAATTCAGTTTCTCTCCAAAACTCTGTGAAGACACAGTTTTGTATTTAGGTCAATCAATTGCCTAGAAGTCATGGTGATGTTGCTAGTGTCACCTAAGTAGCTGGAAGAGAATCGGCGTGGGGAGAACCCCAGTGTAAACACGGAGCTTTGACAATTAGGGAGCTTTTCAGACCCACCTGGAAAATAGGAACACATTTTATTTAGGCTTGTCATTAGAGAAGAGGAATGGTAAGGAGAAATAAAAAAAAAATTGTCACCTGAACTTGCAGCGACATGAACTATTTCATGAACCTTTTGGTTGCTGTCACTATTTCACCTGATATTCTGAGATGAGAAAAAAAAGTCGTATTTAATCCAAGTGTGTCCCATATTATGTGTTTGGAAACCTGGCTAAGTTCTAGTCAATGGGGCGCTGTGTTCTGAATAACAAACCTTCTTGAACATAATGAACACTAAACATTCTGTTGATACTTTTCAGTTCACCTCTGTTGAAAAATAGGACTCTTAAGTAATTGCTTTATTAAACTCTTTGGGTTTATGTCTTTAATCACTTAAATCGTAAGTGTGATCACCAAAGCAATTTAGTGAAGTAAAAGACGTAAATAAATTACAAATAACTTTATTCCCCCAAGGCTTTACACAATAAAATGATTTTTCTAAACCATTTAAAAAAAAGAACGAAAGTGTTGCCCTGACCAGCTAGCTTAAACAATAGTGGGTTCAATTCCTGGTAAGAAAGAGCACATACCTAGGTTGCTGATTCAAACCCTGGTCAGGGCGTGTACCAGAAGCAACCAATCAATGTTTCCTCTCACATTGATGTTTCTTTTCTCTCTCTCTCTTTCTCATTCCCCTTCCTCTTTCTCTAAAATAAAAAATGTATCTTCTGCCCTAGCCAGTTTGGCTCAGTGGATAGAGCGTTGGCCTGTGGACTGAAGGGTCCAAGATTCTATTCCAGCCAAAGGCACATGCCCAGGTTGCAGGCTCGATCCCCAGTAGTGGGTGTGCAGGAAGTAGCCAACCAATGATTCTCTCTCATCATTGATGTTTTGATCTCTCCCTCTCCCTTCCTCTCTGAAATCAATAAAAAATATATTAAAAACATATATATGTATACATATACATATATATAATATATTCTTTTGTGTATTAAAAAGAAAAACAAAGAGTTGAGGTTTTGAGTTTTCAAGAATATATGGTTAAATCTATAGCCATCCCCTAGAACAGTGGTTGGCAAACTCATTAGTCAACAGAGCCAAATATCAACAGTACAATGATTGAAATACCTTTTGAGAGCCAATTTTTTTTAAAATATGTTTTTTATTGATTTTTTACAGAGAGGAAGGGAGAGGGATAGAGAGCTAGAAACATCGGTGAGAGAGAACCATTGATCAGCTGCCTCCTGCACACTTCCTATTGGGTCCGTGTCTGCAACCAAGGTACATGCCCTTGACTGGAATCGAACGTGGGACCCTTGAGTCCGCAGACCGATGCTCTATCCACTGAGCAAAACCTGTTAGGGCAAGAGCCAAATTTTTTAAACTTAAACTATATAGGTAGGTACATTGTTATTAACTTAATTAGCGTACTCCTAAGCTGGCCTTTGCTAAAAGCGTCTTCAACCTGATTGAGGTACGTTCGCTGAGGTCGACCCTTCCAATTCTCCCATCCACACTCGTCTTGTATACTTGTTTCATCTATCTTTTGTCACCCGCGAGCGATTTGCGGACGCGACTAGCACTAACCACTGCACAATGAGACTGCTGACTGACTGGCTCACTCAACTCCTGCATGAGTATCCCGCGGCCCCGCCTGCGCTGCGTCTCCTGTCGCCCCACCGACAAACACCCCCCACTTCTTCTAACGCCACTTCTTCAAAATAGACTCGCCCAGGTCGAAAACCGACTTCTGCACATGGGCCACGAAGTTTCAATCGCATTGTACGTGCATCCCCGCACGTGGTATTTTGTGGAAGAGCCAAAAGAGCCACATGTGGCTCGCGAGCCGCCGTTTGCCGACCACTGCCCTAAAACAAGTTACCAGAATCACCTGAACTCAGTGGAAGGCTGTGTTCTTTCACATAAGAGGCTAATAGAATCCATATCATGGATCTCAGAAAAATCCCACATAATTAGTGTTATAGACATGTCCCCCACCCCTGCTTTTAAACACAGAAATTCCATAGTTTCTGAATAAAATCATCTCTTTATTTTTTATCTTTAGTCTTTGATTGATAAAAATTAACTTACCCATTGGAGAAGGTAATTCTTAGGGATTCCAACATAGCTTTAAAAACTGGAGTGAGTAGAGTCCATGGTGAGCTAGAAACTGTGCTTTCCCTAAAAAAATAACACAAGTGGTTGCCTCCCACACGTGCCCCCACCTGGGCTTGTGATTGAACCCACAGCTGACGTATGTGTATTTGACCTGGAATGGAACCCAAGACCCTTGTGTCTTTGGCTTGAAGATCTTACCAAATGAGTAAAAAATGGCCAGGACTTACAGTTCTTCTTAAAGCAGAGAATCCCCTGGAGACTTCTTGGAGGCTGGTGTTGGGATTCTAAAGATGCTTTATTGAAGCAGATGTATTGTAAATGTCTAAGGCTCCTCATTATCTAAAATATTTTTGAAATATGGCATATCCTGCCCCATTATTGTGAACTTTGGCCATATTTTTTTTTCTATGGACACCTTCTTAGGGGAGCATAAATCATTCCAGCTCAACTATGTCCACTCTCTCTATGCTTATAGGTCTTAGCTGTGATTCCCCTTGGCTGCTGGCACTCCATCCAGCCTGATTCAAGTTCTCACCCCTACCACCTCCCCTCAGCCCACCTACTCAAGGACCCAAGTGCTGGAAACCAACACACCAAACCTGTCCAAGGCCCCAAACCTCTCTGCTCCCTAAACCACACACCCCAGCCCCACACTTTCCCCCAGAGTCCAGGGTCCATCACTTCACTACAGGAGCATGGATCTCATCTGAACAGGCCACACTTGGGGAGGGGGTCACCACCTACAATGCATCCCCCAATATTGTAACATGTTGAGATCAAGC